GAGCCCGGGAACAGGAGAAAAGGAAGGCGGCGTCGCAGGAGCGGGAGGCCAAGGAGACCGAGAGAAAAAGGCGCAGGGCTGGCGGGGCCCGACGGAGTCCCCTAGGTCAGCCCCGCCCAGAGCCCCGGAACGCCCTTCGGGCGGCCCAACCAACAGGGTTCCCAGTTTTCTCCAGACCAGAGCGCTTCGGACAGGTGGGGCGAGTGCCCCGTCCATCCGCGCTCCCGCAGAGTGACCCAGGGGTGGCATGGGCGGGGCCCTGGGGAGGTAGGAGACCAGGGCCCCCTAGCTACGAGGCTCACCTGATGCTGAGAGGCGCTGCAGGCTCAGCCCCAAGACGCCGCTGGGACCGGCCGCCACCCTATGTGGCTCCACCTTCTTATGAAGGCCCTCACAGGACCCTGGGGACTAAGCGAGGCCCCGAGCTCTCCCGGGCGTCCACCTCGTCAGCCCCAGTTCCAGCCACCGCCAGGACAGAGGGAGGGCGTACGAAGAAGAGGCTGGATCCTCGAATCTACCGGGATGTTCTAGGGGCTTGGGGTCTCAGACAGGGTCGGGGACTCTTAGGAGGAGCTCCAGGCTGTGCAGCGGCCAGAGCCGGGTCAGAGTCCTGCAAAGGGGCGATAGAGAAAAGCTCGGGCCTAGCTGCTGCTGGCCTGAACAGTGGTGGTTACAGCCATCCCCAAGCCAAAGCGACTGGCAGTCCAGACACGGAGGCAGCTCCCGCTGGGTCTACGATCCACAGCCCACCATGTCCTGCTCCTAGGTCCAGGCAGCACCTCAAGGGCTCCAGGGAAGGGAAAGAAGGAAGTGAACATATTTGGCTTCCTAAGTGTTGGCTTTCCTCCCCTAAGAAGCCTCCAGTTAGGCATAGCCAGACTCTCCCCAGACCCTGGGCTCCTGGAGGCACCGGGTGGAGAGAATCCCTTGGTCAAAGAGAGGGGACAGAACATGAGACCCTGGAAGTTTGGAAGGCGACCCGCCGCGCCCACACCCTGCCCCGCAGTTCCCGAGGCCCCTCTCGTAGAGACGGCATCTTTGTCATTGATGCCACGTGCGTGGTGATAAAGTCCCAGTATGTTCCGACCCCTCGAACCCAGCAGGTGCAGCGCTTGCCCTCTAGGGAGCCAAGCATTGTGAGCGACAGCCCCAGGCAACCCAAGCCCTGCCAGGAGGAGGGTGAGGGGGTCACTGCCAATCCCTCAGCTTGTCAAAAGCTACCATTGAGCAGTGGCATCTCCAACCAGGCGGGTGGGGGGAGCGAGTGCGAAGCCGAGAGAGGAGAGCAGGGGGATTCTACACGGGAGGACCGCACCTCCCGCATTTTAGGGTTCCCTGTCGGCGAAGTGACCCTACGAGACGTCGTCCACACGCAGCCAGGTAGCCCTGAGCACCCAACCTTAGGCCCAGCGGCTCCGGGATGCGCGGGCAGCTTGAAGGGCTCAGAAGCGGCTGGGGTCCTGCGGCGCGGGCGGGGGCTGGGCGCGGACTCCAGGACCCTACGCCGGGGCATTGCGGGAAGCCGTGTCCCGTATCCGCCGCCACACTGCCCCGGATTCGGACTCAGATGAAGCTGAGGAGCTGAGCGTCCATAGTGGCTCCTCTGATGGAAGCGACACAGACGCCCCAGGCGCCTCCTGGCGGAATGAGATGACCCTGCCTGCGGTTGGAAACACCCGGCCCAGGGAAGGCGGGAAGACAGCCAAGCCGAGTGACAGTATCCGGGAGGTTCTAGATGTCATTAGTCAAACTGAGGAAGAAGGCCTCTTCGGAGAGGACATCAGGAAAACACCACAGGGGAAAAGAGAGAGAGAGTGAGCGATGCCCCTTTTTGTTCTCATGTGGCTCAGCCCACCCTTGGGCTCACCTTTCTCCTTTACTCTCTACAGGCTTCGTTTGCTTCCCTTTTCTTCTTTCCCCACCTACACCTGTTCCCACACTTGAAACAGAGGAAAGGAGAGGAGAGAGAGGCCAGGCAGCACTCGCCAATCCAAGAATTAGCTTCAGGGGAGATGAGAGTAGGATTCAACCTCTGCTTCATTCAGCACTTCGAAGAACTGAGCAGAGGCAGTCATAGGTCAGGGTCCCTGGTAGGAGAAAAAAAGTAATGGAGAGGCCTTGAACCTAGTGACTGAGTGATCAGGTGACGGGGGGGGGCGGCTTTTGGCAGAGAAGGAATGGATGCATATACAATATACAACCAGCAAACTGGAAAGAGGGCTCAAGTTTCAGTTCCTACTCTGCCACTGACTTGCTGGTGGACCTTAGACTAACTACGTTTGCACCGTTTGGACCCGAGCATCCCGGATTCCTGCAAATGTAAAATGAGCGATTTCTGCCACCCATTCTTCCTTCCCTGGAATTTTGGGAATAAATGAATAGGATTTGAGGGCTCTTATCCACTTCACTCTTCCTCAGTTCAGAAGACTGTCAAGGTTTTCAAATTTAAATGGACAAAGGGCTTCTATCCCAACCTCCGAAGTTTAGGTGAGTGCTTCCCAAGGAAGAGCAGGATGATGGCCCTACCACTGCGTCTGGCCTGTGGTGGGCCAAGTTGGAGAAGGAAAGTAGCCAATGAATCAGCTTGGGACATTTTTAGGCCTTCCCCTTTTCCTAATCTCCGTGTCCTCAGTGATGCTCTGAAGTGTTGCCGGGATTTCCCACACAGGCGGTATCGCCCACCTGATAGGACCCTGACAATTTCTGCATCTCTTCTAGAAAAGCCAGGCAAGGAGGAAGGCTGATCTTCAGCAGTCGGTGTGGGGTGTGATGCTCGCTGGAGCCACTACGGGGCGCGCGCAGGTCGCGGATTCCCCCGGTTGCTGGTGCTCGAGTGCCCCTACACCAGCACTGCCAGTTATCTGGATCCCCAGTTACCGGGCGCCGGTTTCCCGCCTTGACACCTCCAAGCCGCAAGCCGCGCGCGGGGCCGGGAGCAGGCCTCCGGTCTCCCAGATCTCTGGGGCGCGCCGAGCCCTTCTTTGTATTGATCCCACGCCAACAGGCTTAAGACTGATGTTTAAGTCTTTTTTTTTCTTTTTTTTTCTTTCCAACCCTGGGCACTTCCTCTGTGTCTGCCATTTACTAGCCATGTGACCTTTGGCCAAATCGCTTCACCTCCCTGAGCCTCAGTTTCCTCATCTGTCAAATGGGGGTTTATAAACACCTACCTCGCAGGGTTGTTGTGAGGATTTAATGCGGTAATGTATATAAGGCGCCTTGTACAGTGCCTGGCACATAGTAGGCGCCCAATAAAACTACTCTTCCCTTTATGCAACTCTGGAGTCTCTCTCTTACTGACCCAGCCCCACCTGTCCCTCCCTTGGGGCTTCTCGACTTCTTCCCGCTAGCTGTGGCGGGGGTGGGGGGGCACTCCTTTTCTGTGGAAACTTCTGGCCCAGCCTGTCTCCCTGGCTGCGACTCTCCCTTCCTTGCCCCCCGCCCCACCCCTGCCCACTATTCCCTCTGCCCTGTGCACTCCCTCCGCCCCCCATTCCGGGCAAGGGCTGAGTCAGCCTAGGTAAATTTAGCCTCCGGCTGGGCAGAAGCGGGGGCTTCGCCCAGACTCGGTCGCCAGGTCGAACCCGTCCCTTGGCCCCGCCTCTGTCCCTACTCCCATTGAATCCCGCCAATCCTGAATCCCGCAACTCTTTAGACTGCTCTCAAACCACTTAGGTTTTTAGTCTCCAATTAGCTAGATTGACGTCACACCCAGGGAGACTCAGAGACAGGACGCAGAGGGGGTGGGGGTGGCAAGACTCCCAGTCCACAGCGGAATAGGGTCTCCCATTCGGGTTTCCCAAGTCTAGGGGCGCGGCTTTCACTGGTCAGTGCTCCCCAGGAATATCCACCTGCCCCCCTGTCTGTAACCTACACATTTCCTGTTGCTCTTGGTGGAGGAGGCCAAGGAGTCCAGGTCACCTTGGGCAAAGATCAAAGGTACTAAAGGTCTTACCACTTTCTACTGCAGTTCTAGCTGCTGCCAAGTCTAGCCCAGATTTACTGAGCACTCCCTAAGAACGAGTCCCTGGGTTGAGCTCAAGGGTAGAAAGGACAAGGACTACCTGACAAAGTGATAAAAGTAAGAAGTACTGGGCTCTTATGTTAAGTTCCAGAGGGAGTCAATCAAGGGAGACCCTAATTTTATGAGATCCAGGGAATGTCCATAGAGGAGGTGACAGTTATATACAAATTAGAAAGGAACACAGCTGGTGGCACACGCCTTTAATCCCAGCACTCAGGTGGCAGAGGCCGGTGGATCTCTGGGTATTCAAGGCCAGCATGGTCTACAGAGTTCCAGGCCATCCAGGCAAAAATAAACATATATTTTAAAAAGAAAGAGAAAGACACCTGGCATGGTGGGACTTTCCTGTAAACTGGAGGCAGAGGCAGGAAGATGGTTAAAAGTTTGAGCCCAGCCTGGTTTACATAGTGAATTCCAGCCCAGAACAGCCCAACCCAGACCAGTAAGATCTGAATCCAAAAAAGAAGGGGCCAGGGAGCACAATCCATCCCTGGGAGAGGAAGGTTGGAGGGCGGCTCAGAGGTAGTATGCTGGCCTAGAACATACAAAGTTCTGAGTTTGGTTCCTGGCATTGAAAAAGACAAATCCTAGGTTAGATAACAACCACCCCTTTCGTGCAGGGAACATTTGGGCATTTAGGGTATGGGGCAACACATGCCTTCTTCCAGAGCTTGCCAAGGATGAAGTCAGAGCCAGCTGCCAAAGTTCTGGGAGAGAAGGAGAAAGAGGGATGACTGCAGGTTTCAGGGCCAGACCCTGGTAAATAGTATCTTAGGCTGTCCCCAAGGGGCCCTGTGGGTGGCAGGTTAGAGACTCCCTGCTGTGAAAATGACTTCTAAATCTAGCTGTGTCTGCCAGCCACCCAGCCTCCTGAAGAAGAAGGCCACAACCACCCCCCTCCCTGGAACTGCCTCCCTGACCAGGAGAAAAGACAACAGGTGCAGGAGGACTGCTTGATGGGGGGTGGTGGCAGATCTTAGGTTAATAGGGGACCTCAAACAGGGGACCCTATGACTCCCCAACAGCCAAGTTCTTCCTGGAAGCATTTTCTGCCTCACAGTTCTGTCATACTTGATAAGGTATTAGGGGAGCCAGGAACTCTGTCCTTTTCAGACTTGGGAGAACTCTGAGGTTGTCCTGAGGTTGGCTACAAATGGACAAGGAAACGGAGACACAGGCTGTAACTGCGATGCCACAGTGATCAGTGGTGAGGATGTGTTCTTGAGGGAGGAGAGGGAGACAGGAGAAACTGCTGGACACAGGGAGCGACTTGGGATGTGTGCAAAGTGTTCATGGAAGACAAGATAGCATTCTGTCAGTAATTATTCATTTGTGCACTTGCCCATTAACCATAATGTGCCAGGGTTGCAGAGGAGAGTCAGGCATGCTTTCTATCTTCAGGGAACTCAACCATACACTAAAATTGGAGCAGTAGAGAGGAGATTAGCATAGTGCCTGTGTAAGGATGATATACAAATTGGTGAACCCTCCCAGAATCTAGAAAAGAAGGGTGAGGAGGATAGGGGAGCACGAAAGAGGGACAGATAAGTCCTTGACTTAGACTTACAGTGAATGAGAATATATCCACGAATGCTCTGGGAGACAAGTTTCCAAGGTTACATGTATTAGTGAGTAAATTGAGCACGAAAGAGGGACAGATAAGTCCTTGACTTGGACTTACAGTGAATGAGAATATATCCATGAATGCTCTGGGAGACAAGTTTCCAAGGTTACATGTATTAGTGAGTAAATTTTAAGCTAGGTGCTGTCCAATCTATGCACCAACTCGCTTGTCATCCATCTGAGCGCCTCTCCATATCCCTTTATGCATGCATCTATTTCCTCATCCATGAACCCATCTAGTATCATTTAATGAGGGCATATGATGCCCCCTTCTCAGTGCTAGACAGGATGGCAAGACATAGATGACATGGAGCCTGAGGCAGGTAGCCTCAGGCAGGTAGAGGCCTGCTCTATCACATACAAGAATGGCCAGTGGGTGTCATGAAGAAAAGCCCCACCAGCAAAGCATTTCAAGAGCTTAGACAGGCAAAGACACTCTACCAAGGGACAATGGAAGGGTCTCCTTGGGGGTAGAAACGTTTGAGGCCGTTCTCACTGAGATATGAGGGAAGAGGTACATCCAGAATATGAGAAGATATATGGCTTCCACCAAGAACTTAGAGAAGGTGAGATCAAAGCATTTGGCTTTCACTAGAGGCAGTAACATGCACCTGTAGCCCCAGTTACTTGGGAAGACTGAGAGTGGGGATCCCTTGAGCCCAGGAATTCAAGGCCAACATGAGAAAAGCATTGAGACCCCGCCTCTGACCAAAGAAACAGGAGCTTTTGTGAGAGGATTTGAAAGAGAGATGACACATAGTTTTGAATGGGGATATCTTACTGTATTTTTGTGCTGAACATTTTCCTGATTTTTGATTTTGACCTTTGCCATATTTTCTCTTTTTGGTTTGTTTTAGTTTTGTTGTTGTGTTGTGGTGGTGGTGGTACTGTATTTGAGATAGGGTCTCACTAGGTAGCTCTAGCTTGCCTAGAACTTTCTATTTAGACCAAACTGGCCTTGAACTCCCAAAGATCCACCTGCCTTTGCCTCCAAACTGCTGGGAGTAAATGCCTGTGCCACCATGCCTGGCACTTTAGTTGATTTCAAAAAATTATTTATTTTATTTTATGTGCATTGATGTTCTGCCTGCATGTATGCCTGTGTGAGAGTGTCAGGTCCTCTGGAACTGGAGTTACAGGTGTGAGCCACCATGTGGCTGCTGGGAACTGAACCTGCCTCCTCTGGAAGAGCAGTCAGTGCTCTTAACCGCTGAGCCACCTCTCCAGTTCCACCTTTTTTTATTTTATTACTGTTTGAATTTCTCTGCTATATGAGGTACTCAAGGATTGCGTTTGACTCTGCAGTCCCTAAAACTTGGTATGAAACACATCCTCCAAAAAGGATGGTGTAAGAAGGGGATAGAAGCCTGGGGGTGTAACTCTGTTGATAGAGCACCTGTCTACGATGCACGAAGCCTTGCATTTGGTTCTCTGGGCATGGCTGCCCCAAAATCTTAGCA